AAGAGAGAGATCTGGGATTCTTTTTGGATAGAATGCCAAATGAGTTTGGGTTAGGTTTGGCGATGTTAAGCTGTGTAAGAGTTCAGCTTGCAGGGTAGGTTGGAATGATGGAAGCTCTTCATAGGTTTTGTTTATTGGTAGTTGTGGAGTAAGAGTTGGTTAGAAAGGGGGAGAGGATTTGGATAAGAACTTTGCAGGAGGAGTAGGACTTTATGAGAATATTTTAAGGGGGAAAAGATTGTCAGAACAGACATAGGTAGGAGAGGGAGGGGACATAGGTATCTGGTCTAGGACAGTAGGCCCGATGATGAGTACTTGAGGGATAGAAGCTTTATTTTAATAATATTTGAAGAAGTTTTGAGAGTTAAATCTTTATATGCTGGTATTGAGGTTTTTTGGGGGGGGTTATTATTTTTTAGTGTCTATTTTAAGTGCACTTGGGTTAGGTTTAAAGATATTATGACAACTACAGGTCAAAATGATTTTTTACAACACAGCTCAGATCATGCCATAACTATGCTTTAAACAACTCAAAAGTGTTCTAGTGTCCTCTAAACAAAGCCCCCAACCTGGACAAAGTCCCAAAATGACTTGAGGCCATAAAGTTTTTTTCAGCACCTGGGCTGTATCTACTTACCTAGGCCTGTCTAGAATACATTGCATTTCTGGCCTTCCAGGCCCGTTCAGTTTCTTCATCACACGTGTATCTGTCATCTTGTATTCCTAAGTTTGGAATGAACTTTCCCATTTCCTCTTCCCATGTTTATTTTCCTGGTTAATGCCTACTCATTCTGAACTCAGTATTTCAAGAAGTCTTATGTCCTTTTCCTATCTCTCCCCCATTATAACTAGTCAGTGTCTGGTTTAATTGGTTTTGGTCAAACATTCTTCTAAGTTGCATAGCACTGGTCTGTCCATTTGTTGTACACGTGGTTGCTGTGATGCTAAACACTGTGACACTGATGCAGCAAATGCAATAATGGTTACCCCTGGTGGAGCTCCCTAAATAAAACAAGCTTGGAAGCAGGAGTGGCATCCACGTCTGAAATAGCTTGCTTTCGGAAACCTTATGAACTTGGAGAAACGATGAAAGTTATACAAGTGTTCAGGTTCTTTCACTCATAGGGTCGCTATGAGTCATCTAAGATTTAATGGCACTTCACAATAACAACAGGTCTGTGCAACTTTTTAAAAAATGTATTTATTTTTATTAATTTTAACAAAAGTTTACAGAGACTTAGGGTTTCCATTCATTCATTGTTGCGCTTTTCTCCCTGCCCCCTCCCAATTCACTCTTCTCCTTGAAAAGTAAAAGAAAAACTCTTTCATTGTTATGCAATCCCTCCCCTCAAGTTCACTCCACTGTGCAGCCTTCATTCTGGACTCCTGTCATGACAATAATACCCAATTGTATATGCCTTTTAAACAGTTCTTTCCCTCATCTGTTTCAGTGCAGTATACATCATTCATCCCCTCCTTCTCTGTCTTCCCTCAATCTTCCCGATGTCAGTCCTGTTTTACAACAGTGGCCCTTTGCAATATTTACGCTTTTTTGACTGAGATATTTCACTCAGCATAATGTCCTCCAGGGTCACCCATTTTGTATAATATTTCATGAGTTCCTTGTTTTTTAATGCTGCACAGTATTCCATTGTGTGAATATACCACAGCTTCTCCATCCATTCATTTGTGGATGGACACTTGGGTTGTTTCCAGATCTTTGCTATTGCAAACAAAGCCACAATAAACATAGTTGTGCATATATCTGTTTGGATGGTGGTTATGGTTTCTTTCGGGTAAATTCTCAGTAGTAGAATTGCTGGGTCAAAAGGTATTTCTATTTGCAACTTTTTCAGAAAATGTCGTACAGCCTTCCATAGTGGTTGCACCATTTTACACTCTCACCAACAGTGAATAAAGGTTCCAATTTCTCCACAACCTCGCCAGCATTTGATATTTGCTGTTCTGTTAAATTTTGCTACTCTTTCTGGGGTGAGAGGATATTTCATAGTTGTTTTGATTTGCATCTCTCCTCGAGCTAGGAATTTTGAACAGTTCTTCATTTGTTTGTTGACCATCTGAATGTCTTCTTTGGTGAAGTGTCTGTTTATATCCTGTACCCATTTTTCAATTGGATTATTTACCTCTATCTTGTGGTGCTTGAGTATTTAATAAATTCTCAATGTAAGTTCCTTTTCTGACATGTCATTATCAAATATTTTTCCCCAATCTATGGCTTCCCTTTTTACCCTGTTGGAGAAGTTTTTGGATGTACATAGGGATTTGATTCTTAGAAGGTCCCATTAGTCTCTTTTCTCCTCTCCTGCTTGTAGATTTTCCAGGATGTTTGGAAGACTATTTATGTTGTGGGTTCTGTGTAACTTTTGTAAGCCTTTCCATAAAGTTTATGATATACTTTAAAAGATAACTTACTTCTGTATGAGTTTGAAGAACAAATCATATACTGATGATTTGGCTATTTGTGGGGGAACTGCTCTAATTTATAACAGGGCAATTAATAATAGTATAATTTTATTAAACTGAGTTTGTTAGAACAATTTAGTTAAAATATTTTTAGTTTGATTAATTTTTTAAACTAAAGACTATCGTTGTTGTTGTTGTTATGTGCCGTCGAGTTGCCTGCAACTCGTTATGATCCGATGTACAACAGCCCTAAACCCTGCTCTATCCCTTGCTAATCTCATTGTCCCCAACACACCTAACTGCGTTACCCCAGTCACTGAATCAATCCATCTCACCAAGGGTCTTCCTCTCTTGTGCTGTCCCTCCACCCTCCAAACATGGCATCCCTCTCCAAGGACTGGTCCCTCCTTGCAATATGTCCAAAGTATGTCAGACAAAGCTTCAGAATCCTTGCTCCAAGGAGCAGCCTGGCTTCACCGTCTCTGGAACGAACTTGTTTGTTCTCTTGGCAGTCCATGGTATATTCAATACTCTTCTTCAGCACTACAGATCAAAGGCATCAACTCTCCTTCTATCATCCCTAGTTATTGTCCAGCTTTCTGATGCATATCAAGTAATTGCAAAGACCATGGTCTTGATTAGGCTCACCTTAGTCTTCAGACTGACATCATTGCTCTTCAGTACTTTGAAGAAGTTTCTGACAGTAGAATTTCCTAATGGAATTAATCTTTTCTTCCTCCCCCCCACCCCCCCGTCTGCTGGTATCAAGAGTGTTGACTGCATGGCCAAGCAAACTGAAGCTGTGAACAATCTCAATCTCTTCACCATCTATCATGATGCTGCCAATCAGCCCAGTGGTGAGAATCTTTGTTGTTTTGATGTTGAGCTTCAAACCATATTTAAGGCTGCAGGCCTTGACCTTTTGTAGCAAGCACTTCAGGTCCTCCTCAGTTTCTCAGGGTTTGTCATCTGCATAAGGCAGATAGTTGATGAGTCTACCTCCAATCCTGATGCCATCTTTCTCCTCATAAAGCCCATCCTCCTGGAGAATCTGTTCTGCATTTAGATTGAAAATGTATGGAGATAGGACATATCCCTGGCATACACCCTTAGCTTTTAAATTGAAACATATGTTAGCACTGCTCTGTCCATTTGCTGTATTGAAGTAACTTGGGAATTGTTGTACACTGTTCCATTGGTGGGTCAAACACCATAATGGTTACCCACTGCGGACAGTGTTTGGTGGAGTTTCCAGACTGATTCAGGTTTAGAAGCAAGAGTGGCATCCACTTCCTAAACTACATGCCTCTGGGAACTCTGTGAACATAGAGAAATGAAGATAGTTACAGAACAGGGTTCAGGTCTTTTGTTCGTATTGTTCCTATGAGTCATGTCCAACTGGACGGCACTTAACAAGAATATGTTAGACAGAAAAAAGAGTTGAGGGCAAGAGAGAAAGAAGTTGGTCCGAAGAAATGAACAAACCTTTATTGCGTGGTCTGAGAGGGACGCCAAGTGACCACCAATGAAGGTCAAGTTCGAAATGGCGCACATGCAGGCAGTCAAGGGTGGCCTCTTTTTTTATAGAGGTTTTAGGAAGGACTAGAGAAGATGGCATGTTGCTCGGATCTGGGCTTTTGGGATCAGGCTATCATGATTCACTGTCTGGTCTTGTCTTTGATGTTATCATGTTTCTGATTGATCAGGCCCCGGGACAAAAGCCATATTCTTCCTTTCCCCACCAGGTCACCTTCTCATCCCCATACACCCTCCTTCCCCATGTTTCTCCTCTCCATCTATCAACAGTCCTTCCTCTCCACACCCCCTTTCCCTCACTTTGTCCCCTCACATCTTCCTTCTCTTCATCCCTTCTTTCTCAGGCCCAGGGGGTGGGGGCTCAGTCCAGCTGGGCTAGAGATCTGAGTGACTCCCTCCTGTGAGGACCTGGAACCTCAAATGTGTGGCAGTCTGCAATACTCTGGCCCTATACCCTGAGACTTTTAGGCGGAAGGGGGGCACAGGGAGGGGTATGGATGGTGGAGAGAGGGAGAGTTGGAGGACAGCATGGAGGAAGAGGATTGGGGGGGTTGGGGGGAAGCAATCTGGAGAAGGAAACCCAGGTGGCAGAAAGGTGACAGGAGTAGAGGGAATGCGGAAAGAGTTGGGGAGAGGGGTTCAGGGAGAGTGTGGTGATCTGAGGGCCCCAAGGTGGGGGAGGAGAGAAGGGGGGTGAAGGGAGTAGGAAGGGAGAGAGAATGCAGGGAGAAGGGGGAAATGGAGTGAAAGATGGGTCAGGAAGGGCGGGAGGAGGCAAGAGGGAGCTGAGGGGTGAGGAAGGCTGGGGGCAGGAGGTGGAAGGGAGCTGGGGGGCGGGGAAGGCTG